TAAAGAGTTCATATCTTTTAAGGATTTTGTATTTCCTCTTGAAATCACTCATTCCAAGTCACGCCACCTCGTCAGTCAGACGAAGGACTTTAAAAAATAGATTGTATTCATGGCTCTACCTAAAATTAAAAAGTCAGACATCACATACACTGTCCACTTTTCACCCTCGACAACGATTGATGCATTTAAAGTTGCATTGATCGATTTGCTTGTACATACAGCTGCTGCTTTTGTTTTATTTGCAGCTACAAGTATTGCACAACTAATAGATTTGGTTTCTACTTCACTGAACTTGAATTTATTTCGTGCTAGTTAAGGTGAGGAGCTTCCTGTCCCTGTGAGTAATTAAACAAATGATGGGGTTGCAAAGGACTTAGGCGAACCATTGTACGATTCTTCCCCCTAACATACATCTACTTTCAGATATAACCAGCTACATTCTAACGCGCGCTCTGATTGGCTAATATCTAATAAAAAAGATATGGACGGTTCTAAGAGATTGTTGAGGCTAACGTCATTGTCGGTGAAATTTTTGCCAGAAAAAAATTTTTTCACAACTTTTTTTTTTCGGGTTACACTTAAATTTAGCTATTATAAGGGCTAGTAATAACCCAACATTTGATTTAGGGTCTCTCAGGGAATTTGAAGATGTAGAAAACGTGTCTGAAATGGTTGCAGAAACATCAGAAGCGTCTAAAGATCAACAAAGCGAAAGTGCTACCAGTGAAAGCAGCTGCTTCGCAAATTTATCCGAGCGGGATTTGGAAAAATACTTGAAGATAAACAATCAAACAAGACCAAGAAAGACACCAACTGGTGTGTTTCTACGTTCAAGGGTGAGTTTCAAACTGAAATAGTTATATTTTTTCTTTACATGATTAAAAATAAACATATGAAAAGTTAAATTTTTTTTCTATACCGAATGTGGAAGGTAAATGTCCATCATGTCAATCAATGTAATTGATAGGTTGAGTAGCTGAATAACCATTAAGTTAAAAAATTTACTTTATTCTGGTATTACGTGGACATATGGTGGAAATTTCAAGTGATGAAAATATCTTGCTTACACTTGGTTGGCGATTTCTTATCATAAAGTTCCGATCAAGTGTTGCGGCACACCAGATTCTTATTTTTTTGTTTCTTTTTTGTACAATTTCATACGGTTCAAAGCTTTTGGGGGGTTTTCAAAATTCCCTAACGATTTTTTTTAGTTATCAATACTTTTTATTGTTATTGTTGTTCTACCTCTTTTTTTTATTCTTTAGGAGCGGCCGCCTCGCTTGTCGATATTTTCATCTTTGATAGGAGGTGCCAAGCGGGAAGCCATTTTGTTTCCCTTGAGCTGTTCTCCCAATGCACTGTGAGCTTGTCAACCAGCGCTCTCGAAGGGCACTTGTCGAATATTTCTCATAACCTATTATGGCAATCTTGTTTTGCTTTTTTGTGTTGTTTTCTTTATTTCCCTCTTTTTTTAGATTCATACTTGTACCATAACAGTAGTTAGGAAAAGTTCAGTTAAAAACCCTTCAAACAACTGAAAGAAATCTGAGGCTGAGTTTCATCAGAGAATATTAATGATTATCACAATTACGCCATTCAAAACTCATTGGAGAGATTTTGCAAAATATTGATGTGGAAAAAAAAATCTTCCCAATCTGACCGCCAAAACGTTTTCCAATAGTGAGTATTCTCCATATTCCACTGTCTAGAGAACACTTAAAGGGTACATTCATGATCTACAAAAAGCTTAATGTGGTAGCTAGCCTAAATAGAAGCCTAATTAGCAAGTTCGTTCTTTTTTTATATGCTTAGGATGTGCAGTGGACGAAACAATGTTACTTAATATGGGAATTTTCCACGTTTCCTTCGCCAAAAAGGGAAGGAAACGAGGTGGGTCACGAATTAGTTGATAAGCCACCAGGAACCCGATATCAATATCGGGGTTATCGCTTACGAAACTCGAGAGGATGTGAAAGAAGAAAAAAGAGTTCTCCGCTCAATAAAGAAGCAAAAAAAGGCGTTGGAAAGTTATGAGAAAACGTTTTAAATTTCACTCTGTCAGTGAAAATTCATTAATAGCGGAACTCAGGGAATGTCGCGAGATGATTATGATCTCAGATCTGCGCTGCTAAATTACAGGATGTCCTGATAACTGATCATCTAGAGAATCTCAATTTTATTTCTCGGGAAAAAAAAGCACGATAATTATGCTGTTATGGAGTACCAAGTCTCTTACTGGTCAGCTTAGGTAAAAACTTTAATTGGAAACGTTTTGGGGCTCTGCGTAGTAGAATAATGACCTATTTTATGCAGATTCATGTTAGGAGTAGTCAGTAATATAATTTCTTTCAAAATGAAATTTATAGCTGAGGTGATGGTGTCATTTTATCCTTATTTGTTTTTCTGTTTTTCTGTTTTTATCTTTATATTTGTGCTTATCAACAGTAGCTCAGTGACAGGAAGTTGTACCACCGTACCCCCTAATCTACCTGCCAGATATGATGAATTGATGTAAGTTTGAAAATCCTTGAAAGGCTGAGACCCACTTTTACTTTATGACCCACCATTTCGAAATGGATAATGATACCTCTACTGTAACCAAACTGGTGTCACAGAGTTGCAAACTCGTATTGATTCCATAGGGATATTACTAAATAAGTCATGTTCAGGACTTTTTCGGAAACAGGCATCCGGTTATGGGGCTAAGATGTCATTCCCTTTGTTGTGTTGTATGATTTCGATCCATTTTGTGTGTTACTGCCTTAAGTTGTCCGTCTGCCGTCAGTGGCATATGTTCAGACTTCGCGAGTTATTTAAAAGAGCAGCACCTTGGTTGAGAAGGAAATTTTGAAACGGCCCTCAATGATTCTGGGATTTAGTGGCATAAAGCTATGAAATTAATGTTTTGTTATTTTGATCTAGACATTTGACATTTCATTATAGAGAAGATTGCCTTCTATATCACTGATGAACTTACAGGAGACCTTTGTAAATTGAATTAAGATAAAAAGCCATCTGTTTGGTCTGTGTTTAGCTCAATATGTTCAGTTGCGTGCATATCCAGGGCTAAACACAGAAGTTTCCGCGAAACTGCCCGTGTAGTTGCCGTGTTATCTCATTTCGTTCTCTGTTTTGTTCGAAAAAAGACCAAAAGTACTTTGAAATAATGGTGTATTGTTTAATTATTTAACTGACTCCCAAATAGCACGAATAAACAAGAACAGATAACGAAGGTTCTAATATATTTGGCCATTATTCCAACGCAAACGTTTACCAAACAACAATTCGTAATGTTAGCATATACGATTCTTTTATTTTCGTCAAATTTGGTCGATTTCTTGCGATAAATTATGGGACATAGTTGGACTTCGTTCTTAAAGTCAACATGAAGCATGCTACATATAGCATTGCAGTCAGGCATGCAGATTTACCTTACAAGCGTGCCTCAGATGCTGCCAAGTCATTTGCTTAATGTACCTTTACATGAGGCGATTTCAATAATTGCTAAGCAAAAGGAATAAAATTTGGCTCGCAGCCTACGTGTTGATTGGTTCTAATACTTTATAAGGAGAAAAAAACAAAAAATATTTTGTCTATTGCCTATAACAAGTTGACAGATTCTTAGAGAGATCTTCAATAGATCATCTAGCAGAAAAAAAAAGCCACGCTAACAATTTTAAAGTTGACTTTCCTCCGAAAAATATTGTGCTTACATTTATCAGCCATCCACAAACAATAACAACAACGAACGCGAGCGTGGTCCAGTGTCAAATAACAGGGACTTTTGACTAGCAAGGGACTCTAAACTTCAGATTCAGGATTTTTGTCCTCTTTTTCTTTTTTCTCAATACAACAAGTTTACTTTGTCGTGCGTTTAGCTATTGCTGTCACAAAATTTGAACTTAGAGAGAGTCTTACTCAATGTGGCTTGTTATGCGTTCTTGGAATATTTCTTGTTTCTATCTCTAATTTCTTGTCTCTGTGGTGTCTTTAAATATATTTACCATCGAAGATGTAATCGTTTTGAATTAACTAAGAAGCTACTGCTACGACTTTCCTCCTCTGTTGAAGAAATTGGAAAGAGGGGAAAAGATGAAGAATATCTCACTTAAAAAAAGTAAAAAAAATTATACGTTCTTTGTGATAAATTCTGAAGTGCCATTATACTTTTCTCTGAAATAACGAGCACGATTTAAAATTCAGAGTGCATTTTGCATTCATGAAAAAAATTAAGACGGTCAACTCAAATCATTAAAGCGTTGATGATGTAAAATCTACCATATAGAATTAAAAAATCCTTGACGTACAAACATCTCTGAGTTTTTGTAGGCTTGAAATTACATTTTATTGGGTAAAACAACCGACGAACATGTAAAATCAACCAGTACAGAGTGTTTTGTCTTGTGTTGTTTTCTGCGGTTGCTTTTAATGTTCGGTGGTTTTTGGACTTTCAGCTGTCATATTGGAGACTGTTCCATAATATCCTTGATGATTTGCCATCCCACGGTTCGCGAGGAAGTACTTTTTAAATGTTATATCAATGTTGCTAGGGAAACTTTATCATGACATCTGTTATCAGTATAGAGGATGCTTAGAAGACGTCGTTGAAGGGGTTGTGTTTAAGATCTTAATAGACCTAAGATCAACACTTCCATTCTAAAGAGTAAAAGGGACATTTGGCAGCGCTTGAGAATCGATATTTCTTTTCTCTTATATCAGTGACAAGTCTAATAATGCGCCAGAAAACATTAGCATTTACCAACTTCAAGTATTCCTATGCTACGCATAAAACAGACTATACACCAAAAAAAAGAAGTGGTGAAAAAACGGTTTGCGAAGCATTAACATAAATTAATCGTTAGGAAGACCAAATAACCTCTAGAATGATCGCATTTCTAATTATCTGCTCTGAAACATTAAGACGTTTGATTAATATGGAAATGTAATTAAGCGATTGAGCAAACGTGTTGAATTTATGCAAAAACTGTTCAAAGAAGGATACCATTTGTTGGGTAGCCACACAGAGAGATTGAACGTGACTTCTCTGCGCTTAAAGGAGCCACGATTGCTAAGTTGAAAATTTGAGGTATGTTTTGTAATTTTTTTCTTAAATTTAAATTTTTTCTTCCATTTTAAGCAAAAGAAAATATCAAATATTCAATAAGGCCACGCTTTAATTTACGGCAAAGAAGACTGATAACAGAAGGCAAATCATGCGTCAATTTGAACCTTCAAAGAGTAGATAACTAAAGATTTGCCGTGTTTTAAGGTCTTAAAATATCGAAAGAAGCGAATTGCATCGATGAGGAAAATTTGTCCAAAAGGCCTTAATTTAAGGCGTGTTACCTTTTAAGCTGGACGGATAAACCTTTGCCGGCCGTCAGTAAAAGCGATAAAAGCAGAACGATCTTTTTAACTTGCTTCATGTATATACCAGTTGAATTTGTAATAGATAATGGGAAATGATATAGAAATACGAATTCTTAACCGCTAAGCCGAATAAATTAGCTTACTTAAAGCGACGTTAAAGAATCAAGTAATGTGCTTTATGATCGAACAGAATATGGCGCATGAACAAGGATATGCATGTGATAGCTTCCACGACTGACACAGCGTAGTCAAGCTGATAAATTTACGGGAAAACAATTTCCTTTGTTTGTTTGTTTTCTTTTTTTCAAAACACGAACTGGTTCAGTAATGAACCAAGGTAAAACATTTTCACCGTTCATTTTTCCCTTCGTATTTATGCCATAATTGTTTTAGCATTAGTTATGGACTTTTCACACGTTACAAAGATCATGCAGAAACACATGATTCTAGTGAAACGGTTCCAGTTTAAATTGAACGCTTATAGAAACCCTCTATGTATTCTCTTTGACCGATTAATAATTTATAAAACATCGGTAACCTCACAACACACTTGTCTTAAATTAATAGCATGCGAAATTAGTTTTCTTCTGGCTTGAAAATTATACACTTTTAGACTAGGATTCCATACTTTTGGCTTCTTCGAGAAAAAACAAATTAAAACGGCAATCTTGCGAAACTTGAAAGCTGTTGCATTTTTGTTTACAAATGGTGCTTGAATTGCGTGGTCACAGTACCTCGTGACATTACCTGATGACGTTTGAAGTTTAGACGTGAAACCCCGCGGTTCTAACCGATTCTTTGTCTCCAAGGTCAGTCTTTGTGAATAAATTGTTAATTTAAAGGAATTCGTGACTCGATCAATGTATATGTTTAGTTAAAAAAGCAAAAAAAAAAAAACCAATAAACAAACAAACAACAACGAAAAAATATATATTTACATATATATATATATATATTATAAAAAAAAGAGAAAGATGTGGCAGAGAAATTTATCAAGCTTAATAGATATTGTAATCTTTTAAGAATGTGGTTCTTCGTATATCAAGCACCATGATCATCCCCATTCCAACCCCTTTCCCGAGACAATTTTGGGGTTGTATAGATATTTGTATGTTTAAGAATAAAGTACGACTGTCTTTTGCTCAGATTCTGTCGAGATCAACGTCTGCAGCTAAACTGAAAGAAAAATGAACAACACCTCTACTACGGATCAGTTTCTTCCTCAGTCAAACCCTGGAATGACAACAGTGAAGAGACTTCTTCCAATTTCAATAGCCATTATTTTCTCCAACGGACTAGTGTTCGCCTTGTTTTGCAAACGAAAAAGTCTTCGAACGTCATCCAATTACTTGCTGCTTGGTTTGGCAATTTGCGATTTCTTAACAGGCGCTGTAAACATTCCATACTTCATAGTCTTTAGTTTCCAAGTTGTTCCACTTAACATGCAAAAGAACTACAATTACTGGTTGGTCATCATACATAACTTTATGGCTGTAACGGCCGCTTACCACCTCCTCGTTATCACCGCGGAAAAATTTTTGGCCATCACCAAACCACTAAAACATTACCTTGTAACTAAAAAAACGGTTTTAAAATCATTAGCTGCTATCTGGATCTCGTCAACGGTCATAGCCAGCATCCCATTAGCTTGGAAAAACAGTCAAATGCAATTGCTGTTTTCGGTCATCTATTTTTCGGTGTGCCTTGTTTTCGTGTTTGTTATTCCATATGCGTTCATGATTTATGCCTTTGTAGTCATGTTCAAGGCGATCACCAGCAAAAGAAGACCATCTTCCATTCCCAGAAAGGTTGCATCAGGACTGACATGGGGGATCGTCAACGATAGAAAGTGTATTTTAATTTTCGCACTGATGGCAGCAATATATGTGATTTGTTGGTTGCCATATTTTACCATCGGGCTGGTTATCGGTATCAAAAATTATCTCTGCATGGAGTTGACGCAACCGGTTGATAAAGCTACTGAAGCTATTGTCCTCGTTCGATACATAACTTCCTTTACTAACCCACTCCTCTACACGTTTTTCAAGCGCGACTTCTGGCGGACCTTACGAAAAATTTCCCATAAGAAAGAGTTTATTCATGGTAGGAGTAAGTCCTCGAAACAAAGAGAATGGTTCCTGCGAAAGAAATCTGTTGAAAACAGTACCACGTTATCTCGGCTTTCTTGGATTACGGCAGAGGCTAAAGACGCAAGTAACGTGAAAGGAAGCATCTCAGAAGAACAAATACTCTTCGTGTCTTCTGTTTGAAAGCATTAGCATTCTCTTGATAGCTAGGAAGTGGGATCTGATGAAGTTTGTTGGTATAATTAAACGGAATTAGTGTTCATAGCGCTGGTGCTCGCACTTGATATTCTTCTCTTTTTTTAAATTTGTTACTATCGTTATCATTCTAGTTCTGATGGTAAATCTACGGGAGAAAGGCTAATTTCTCAGGACTCTTAATGATCCACTGTCAGTGTTTTTTTGGTAGCGTAATATGATACATCTGAATAGAATGTTAAGGTACCAAATTGATGAGTTATGAGCCAAAATAGTTGACAATTTTATAAATAATGTAACTTGATACATACTCTAAACGAAACCGCGAATTATCCGTTAACGAGATGAGGGAAAAACAGCAAGCGCCTTCTAAAATAAAAATATCGGAGCTTTAGTTCGGGAGGCAGGATAGCGGAGCCACCGGCATACCTGAGATATATGGTTACCCACCAGGTCGATAGATAAGGTTATCAAAACATCATCGTCCTTCTGTACACTTTCATGGATGTGTTTAATTAAGTCATTTGATACGTGCACAAACCGAAATAAACTTTATATTACACTAGATGAATACCAGTTTTGGAATTCTATCGAAAGGCAGTCTATGAGGTATCCCGCGAATAGGTTGCTTTTATCTGTGTCTAAAAGGAGCCGAGGCGATCGTGTTGACTGACAAAAAAAAGGAGGAAAAAGTAGAGTGCACACGGTTAGACGCCTGAAAGCCTGGCAGGACGAACTTCCTCCATGGCATTGCAAAACTGATACATGGTAAAGCTTCTTGTAACCATTTGGGTTCGGTTTTAAACTAAGGGATTACCGTTTGGGAGGTTGAAGAACGAAACGAAGGGTGTAACGGATTATTGCGGACTTCTGCAGAAACCCACGAATTGAAAATAAAAAGTTTTAGTTCACATTTTGTACCTTTCATTTTCACATTTCTACACAAATCAATGATCCCATCCGCCCATCATGGAAAGAATTGGCTCTGCATTACACACAACAACAACAAAGATCGAGGCCACGCGAAACATGCTCCTTGAGAGACCTGGTACAAGGTCGGCCAATCCCAGCATTCATTTGGACGTGCTATTAGCAAAGTCGCGTAGCAAACAACCATGACTTAAGAGCCAGAAGGAGCGCCGCTGCGGCGGCGCTGATTAATTTTTCGAATTATCAATGGGACGCCAAATCGTGAGGGCGACGCTAATTAATATGTTTCCTCAAAGAGCGGCGCCTAGTAGACGGCAGACAGCTTTAGAGAAAGTACTTGCTGTTTCTGCCTCAGCATAACATGCCCATGAATTCCTCTGAAATTGAACACGTTGAAACTTTACTTCCAGCTTAAGCCCTCGTTCTTTCCAAATTTGTAAACATTTATTTGCTTTGGAGACGAGCAACCGAGGGCTGCTTATGACAAGTCTCTTAGATGATTCATATTAAACGTGCACCTAATTTTTCTTTCAAGTATTTAGTGTCTCTATTGATCTGAAACTAGCCATCTAGTCTCATGACATGAATTTAGTTCGATTTCTCGTGAGAAATTTTATAGACTACATGGTGGTGATACCTAAGAGGCGATTGAAAGTCAATGATAAGCTAAGTTTATTTTAAACTAAAGTAATCGATTTGCAGGCATCCATAGCATTAAACGCATTTTTGTCTTCAAATTTGAAATTCAATTCATGAAACTTTATCTTAGGCTAATTGAGGTGTCACAATTGTACATATCGTAATTTATCTTGACCCAAAATTCACGAATCCTGAAACCCTAGCCTTTCTCGTTGAACACAGAACACCCTTCAGATCATCAGTTGAGAATCTAATTTTTTTCTTATTATTAATCCGAAATTTCATGAAAAAAGTTGCCTTATAAAAATTGTCCCCGTGATGCTTTTTTATTTAAGTGTGGTGAAAATGGAACAATACTCTGACATTCGTGAATTATATGCATTTACATGCTTGTGATACGGCAAACTCGAATGCAGCATTATGCGGAATTATTTTCATTAAATGTAAACAAGAGGTCTCAATAATTCGCGTTGGCCTTACAATTGGGCTTTAGTAGAAAAGTAAGTGAAAGTAAAATTTGCCTCCTTTCCGTAATGAAATTATAATGAAAGCGGGCGTCGTTCTATTAGGCCTGTGAGCAAATGTATGTAAATTCCTAAAGTGAGGAATTAAAAGTGTGTTGGTACTTTTGATGAAAGTCTAGTTACATTATAAGTATCCAATACCCGTTCGATAATGAACTGCGGGCAAAACGTGCACCTTCCTCGGAGGGCCGGGAAGCGTGGGCATAGTTTTGAACCCTTTTGGTCCTAATATGGGTATAGATAGTCCTGGATAGGTTGTACTTTTTAGAGGAAACCACGTCTGTGTATGAACTTATTATTTCAACTTCGAGTGATTAACTAAGAAATGAAATTTAAGACAAAAATTCTTCTAGGGGGTGAATTTCTGCATCGGTCGATTTCACCAATTCTTGGCTTCGGAACTGATTCCAACCTTAATTTCAATACAACGATAAAACGTTCTGGTTTCGCCAACGACATATAACATTCAGAAGCCAGACCTAAAGACGGTTACAAATTTTTAGGGGCTATCTTTAAATGCCCGTGGGAAATTACCGGTCTGGTTTTGAAAAACCAGGTGGTACACCCCTTCCAAGAATTCCCAGGGATACCTTTTCCGAAAAAAAAAACTCAACTGACGGTTTAGGGACCGTTTATTATTCATTGCTGGGGGCAGCGTTAAATAATGAACCGTTAATTGTTGTTAAGCTGCTAATTGGTAGTCAATCTTAGGCCCCTCCCCTTTTAACCCGCTGTTGAAGAAAAGTGACCTCCCTCCAGTCCCCCTGAAAACCTTCCACCCCCCCCCCCCCCCCCCCCCAAAAAAAAAAATTATAAATAAATAGGTAAAATAAAATTTACTATAATAAATAAAATGAAATAAAAATAAAAATATACCTCCTCCCCAGGCGATAAGTAATGAATGGCCCCTCAGGTTCTTGTAAATTGTATTATGTTCTGTCAGCACTCATAAACGAATTAAGACGCGCAGACATCAGAAAAAAAAATTGAAATTAAAGTGCAGCGAATGTGCGGAAGTTGCGACATTACTTTGAGATAATGTTTCCTTGGCAAAGAGCTAATCGTTATTCCACATAAAAGAGGAAATGATAATAAAAATATCTCAAGAAAAGACTTTACTTGAACAATATTTGGGTATAATTAAGCCCGACAAAACAAGCGTTTTCGGTGCATGTAAAAAAGATAACGTAATAAAGCTTTGTTCATTAAACCTGAGACATAAATTTTGCGCGAGTTTTCCCAGTGAAAAGTTCTAATTTAGGGGTTTAATTTTTGATGCTGAGTCAGACACGTTGAAAAAGGCAAATTTTCTACGATATTACACTAATTATTTGCATTTGAAAGTCCCTACAGCTGTGTACGCTATTTGCTAAATGCAAAATCTAAAATGCTTCTTAAACACGTAAAGTGTTTAATATTCAATTAAGTCTGAATTTTTAATTTCAGGGAGGAAAGACGAGAAAAATCGTCACAGAAACTCTGCCTTAAAGCGTTAAACGAGGGCATTCAATTTAGATTATCGAAGGATTGTCACAGTGAGACGCTATCCCTCCGTTGTGTCTTCGCATTAAAGGTAAGTCATTCGATCTCTTCTCGAAACCGAAATTTTGCCGCACAGCAGTCAATTCAAAATATCGTATACTCCAGCTGTCGTCGTTCAGATCTTGGTTACTTTTCGACGACAATATTGACAACAAATATTAAGGAAATTATGGCTCTAACGGTAAAGTATACAAATATGAGCGGAAAGGTTAGTATAGAAGGTTTAAATACAGTCTTTATGACTTCCCAATAATTTAGCAGAGTAATCCAGTCAATATGATTCATTATGGGAATAGGGCGTACGTCCACAGACCTAAAATGCTTTCCAAATTCGTCATTTGTAGGCGTCAACATGTTCTCTATCAAGAAATGTTTTGCATTTTCAAAGTGTCAAGGCAAACGTTTCATAATTAATGTCATTTGTTGCCTCGATGGGATAAGGAAACTCTTCCCGTGTTAATTAGTCATCTAGACACGAGAGCAATTTGGAAAAGTAAGCAAATGGCTTTAACGCTCTCAAGGAATTACACAACTTTCGATATTTCTTTCAACTTCTCGAATATTTAGATAGTAAGGCTTTGTAAACACGGACAAATGGCTCAGTTAATTCTATAAAATATTTCTCACCGATAAACTGCTAGTACAGGAACCGCGCAGCAAGTTTTTGAGCTTGGGAGGGGGGGGGGGGTAGGGGCTATTTTTGGCTCCGTTATTTTTGTTAAATTATTTTTTGTTGAATTTACTTTATTTTTGCAAAAAAGTGGGGGGGGGGGGGGGCGCTAAAGCCCCCCCCGCCCCTCCTTCTGCTCGGTCCATGTGGTAGTCTCTCTATTTTAAAACAAACGCGTGATAACTAGAGGAAGCTTTCTCCTTGATGCAGACGCTATTGTCTCTTTTCAGTATCGATTGCGACGCCTGCTAGACATGAGTAACAGCACAGCTTCAGATCAGTCTTCTCCGGAGTCAAACGTTGGAATGACTGTGTTGAGCAGACTTCTTCCAATAGCCATAGCCATTATTTTGTGCAACGGACTGGTGTTCGTCTTGTTTTGTAGAAAGAAGTGTCTTCGAACCTCATCCAATTACTTACTGCTTGGTTTGGCGATTTGCGATTTCTTAACAGGCGCTGTCAATATTCCATACTTCGTCATCTTTCATTTCCCAGTTGTTCCACCCAGCATGCGAGCGGACTTTAACTACTGGTTGTTCATTGTGCATACTCTTACGGCTGTGTCAGCCGCATACCATCTCTTCATCATCACTGCAGAAAAGTATTCAGCGATCATCAGGCCATTAAGACACTATCTCGTAACCAAGAAGATGGTCTTTAAGGTGTTAGCTGTGATTTGGATCTTGTCTACATTAATTGGCATCACCCCGTTGATTTGGAAAAACAGTCAGTCACTTCCTCTGTGTTTCGCAATCTATTCTATAGTTTGTCTTGTATTTGTCTTTGTTATTCCATATACATTCATGATTTATGCCTATATAGTCATGTTCAAAGCGATTACTAGCAAAAGAAGACCATCTTCATCGCACAGAGGAGTTACATCAAGACAGAGAAGGAGGCGCACTAGTGATAGAAAGTGCATCTTAGTTTTCGCGTTAATGGCGGCAATATTTGCAATTTGTTGGCTGCCTTACTTTACTATTATGATGGTTTTAAACATCAAAGGTTATCTGAGGATCAGGATCGAGTTGACGTCACCAATCGCCAAAGCCGCCGAGGTATTTGCCTTTGTTCGATATATCACATCTGTCGTCAATCCACTTCTTTACACGTTTTTTAAGCGCGACTTTTCGCGAGCTTTAATAAGTATCCTTTTCAAGTCGAATAATCGCACGAATCTGGCTTCAAGGCAATCATTTTTAAGACATCGTTCAGTTACTTCGGTACAATCACGGCTCTCTTGGACAAGAGAAAGTTCTGAAAGAGAAAAACATTCTGTGAACGCAAACCTTCTCGAAGGGCAACAAGTCTTTGTATCTTCCGTTTAAAGCAGCTTGAACCATCTCGCAGGCTATGAGTTTGGGGATGCTGTGGGACCCTAAAAAGAATCTTTAGGAGAGTTTATCGGAAATAGGTAGTGGATTATGCAAACCTTGCTAACTGATACTCTTCTTTAGACACTTTGGTATCATTGAAAAACGTCTGTTCAGAATATGGTTACATTACAGGCGGTCCAAGTTCACGTCTCGAGAAAAAGCCAACGATTAATTTATGAAAGCGTCACGCGTTGTGTGGCTCGGTGTTAAGTCACGAGAGGAACCGTTGAGAATTTGAACACGTTGCAAGGAATAGTATGGGGAACGAAATATGGTCGATTTACAACGATAAATATATAAATTATGAATATTTACGCGGAAAATCAATACAAATTACTCACATACTGTGTGTCCGTCGTAGTTTCTGGCGATTTCTGCTGTTTTAAGCGTGCTTTTCCACCACTGTCATCACTATCAAAAGACGTCTTTTGACAGGAATAACAGTGATGGAAAAGTACACTTAAAATGGCAGAAATCGTCAGAAACTACAACGGACACACTGGGTGTGAGTAAGTTTTACTGATTTTACGTGTAAAATGTTCCTATTTTGGAATATTTATCGTTGAAAATCGTGCTAAAATTTTCAACGGTTCCTCCCGTTACTAAACACCGAGTCACACAACGCGTTATGCTTTTATGAATTAATCGTTGGCTTTTTCTTGAGACGTGAGCTTGGACCGCCTGTGGTTACATTGGGACAAAGTATGATACTGGCATCACACAAAACCGGAAATATGGCACAGCGATTCAGTGAAACACACCAGGATCTGACAGAAGCACCGAGCGGGGTTACAATGGCAGAGGGTCATCATTATACGGCTGAACATTTGAACGGAAACAGGATGACAGTGAAGATTAACAGATGTGCACGAACGCAGTTACACTGTTTAAGACTAAAATTTTGAAACAAGAACACCGAGGAACAACAAATACACAAAGACGCTACGACAGAGCGATATCAACACGGCGCGTAGTATAGAAATACAATGTGCAGTGAAACAATAATGCTGGAACGAAATGCAAAATCGGCACAATGGCAAGAAAAAGATAAAAATGCATTAGGGACGCAAAAATGTATCGGAAACTAAAAATAGCAAAAGCCCAGACTCCAGTGACAGCGGCACAGAGGGGAAAAAGAACAATTGGCTTTTTTGACATGGCGACACTGCATTTGGTAAACTCGCCCCCATCTTTGCGCAATGAATGCTAAGGGAGGTTCTTAAATCCGAACTGTAATTATAATTTTCTTCCTTTGCACACCCACCTGCTAATGAAGCTGATGTGTGGTCGCCGAGGATTGCAAGGTTAATTGTCTACTTAAACTGTTTGCTTCGACGATCCAAGGTATATTACCATAGGGGCGCTCATTCACAAAAACGAATTCGAGGAGGGCGCTTGTTGGAACGAGGGCACTGAATCGAATCATTAGGGTAAAAGCAAACATTTTTTAGTATTACAAGGTAACGGGAATGATGGCACAAACTTATAGCGCTGAAAGTAATTGATGTATTGAAACGATCCAATGAAGATCTAACTATAGTGTCTGACGATCTACTGGAAAAGATCTGACTATCAAACAATCTGACCGTAAACAAGACTCCCACCTTACTTTACGTAAAATCCTAGCTTAATCTCCATTTAAGTGATGAAGAGGTGATAAGATGTTTCAAAACTTTAGATTGCGATTCGCGTAAGAAACACGTCATAACTTCCTCGAAAATGGTTTCTTGCATTTTTCTCCCACATTCAAATTATGTGGTACTTCCATGTCTCTGAGAGTTTCCATTAGTCTACGTCTGTCGTTGAGCGAATTTCACTGGCATTTCATTACAGTGTTAGGGAAGATCACTGACTTCTGTGATAAAATGTAACACCACTTCACGTCATTCAGTATCAGCGTCACGCAAATCTCGCACGTCACGCAAAACACACAAGTCAAGAAAGTGATTTACTGACAACAGCTATTTTAAAATGATCCAAGCTCTGAAGCCAATTAAGTAGTCATTCAGAACAGGACCACTGTCCTTAAACCAACCAGTAAAACTAGTTTTACGAGACATCAATCAATTTCTCGCACGCACGCATGCACACAAGAAACGTTCAGGACGTATTCCAGTAACGTGCTAACCCCAAAATGTTCACCAATTACGTGAATGCTAAAAAATGTCCATATTTATATCATTCGCGTCCCATGGTATACAGGATTCAACATTTTCAGGGGTAAAGTTCTCTGGGAAAACAGCCGGAGAAATGGCATCTTGCGATTGCAGAGAATATTGGGCTGCTAATATACCAGCCTTTACACAGATGACCGGAGAGTGTCCTTGAATAATACACGAAGCCATTGCTGCTGCAAAACTGAAACATAAAAACAACATCGACTGGTCAGTGGACATATTCAATGAGTCTTTATTCAACGGCATTTTTCTTGGGCACCAAATACCTAGGTCGTAAAATGGCCCCCGACCGTATCCATAAATTCCATGTTTTTAAATTTCACGTGCTGTTTGTGTGCCTTTCTTAGTAATACAATGTGCATCAGCATGAGATAAGCACGCGCACCCAGAAAAAAATGGCAACGTTTTCTTTTAGGTGATGCTACCTCTACGAGATTACAACAGGCATCCTAGTCTACGAGTAGCCGTACCATCCACCCCAAGGTGAAACGGATACCTTCCATTTCACCTTGAGAGGGGTGGGTACGGCTACTCGCAGGCTACAAGCATCTTTGCTTTTATCTCAGAATTCTATTTTTCAACTAAATCTCAGCAGGCTTTCATTTCAAGGGAATGACCATGAACGAAATAAAGTTGCTAAATAATATGAAATACAGGGGAAGGCGGCTCTCCTTCACACTGTGCTCTGTCTATAAATTCTGTTTCCCTCCAAGATCAATCATCCAATCTCACCTGTCACCTGCACCAGTGACGTTTCCCCCTGGCACGTGACTTCCTGGGCCTACGGCGGGAAAATACCGCGCTGACACCAAACTGTGTTGCCGCGCCGCAGATACCCGACTCATGTGGTGAGCCGTTGGAAATGGAGTGTCAGCGGAAGTGTCTCTACAGATTAAGGCACCATGTTTGCCAAGAGTCACGATGATGCAATGAATATGCTTTAAAAGTGGCTTGCAAAGGTGCAAACACTCGGTTATAATATCTTCTAGTGGTCGATCTTTCTCTTTATCATCCTTTGTGATGTGTGGTGGAAGATTTGATTTCTGTAGTTCGTCGTTCACTATGGCAGAGCTCATGGTTCGAAGCTCTTTTAGATTAGGTGATATGTATGTTATGTTGTGCCACGCGTCACTACGAAAGGGTTTCTCGGCTTTCATGATGCACGTTGGTTCAAACCACACTAAATAACAACGCAATTAATAAAGAAGTGGTTTTACAAGTTCTGTATCAGGAGGGTTTTCGGGGAAATGACAGGGAAGGAATCAGTCGGTTATCTGCTATCCTTGAAATTTCCATGACATCCACTGTACATGCACTTTCAAAAAACAGCTAACTACAAATAACTGAGATTAGCTTACCGTCAATCTAATATCCCACACTACATCTTCCCCTTATGTCTACAGCACATGTCGTTTATTCTTTCATGACTGTCACAATTTAGTAGAAGACCGAAGTCATTAAACCAATCTCTACACTCAGCATTAGCATTGTGGTACCTGGTATGTGGTTAGCTGCACAGGGGTGACGCGCCTGACCAACAATGTAATGTAATGTTGCCACCTGGCTAGTTACTAATTCAACGTCAATCTAAGATCTTACATTAAATCTTCACCCTCCATCTACAGCACATGTCGACTATTAATTCACGACCGCCACGTGTATTGGTAGATCGAGTTCATTAAATCGTACTCTATATTCAGCCTTAGCAATGTGGTACCTGGTATGTGGTTAGCTGCACAGAAGTAACACGCATGATCAATAGCTTCTTCAGTAATATTGCCATCCAGCATTACCAAAGGTGCGTGTTTAATAGGTTCCTCGAAGGCTGCAATCTAACAAATATGTTCAAAAAATAAAGAAAGCGTTTAAGAACATGCTGGAATTACTTGCTTATCTGAGGAGTAACTTAACCTCCTCGCGTATGACTGAGTAGTTGACGTACAATCGGGGCCATACCTCCGCGGGGAAACCTTCGAAAGACACGCTCTAAAGGTTCATTCTTCATACCTCCGAATATCTTGATTTCGGTGTCAAAAAAAAAAATGATAAACCCCTCCCGCCCTTCAGCAAAGGTAATAATAATAATAACAATAATAATAATAATAATAATAATAATAATAGTAATAATAATAATAATTATCTTTAAGTTCTTGGCAGGGGTGTCCCACAACTTCACATTGGCGAACCCTTACTACGCTTGTACGTTACTGCTCAATATCAAGTATTCATTATTTACTTATTTTGAAAAAAAATCTTAGCTTATTAACGTTACAGCATTAGAGGTTCTGCCCTTGTATAAGTCCACGGTTGTAGGTAAAATAACTAGTCACATCTGAGGGGCCAGAATAATGGAACTAATGAAGAAATCTATAGTCCTCACTATAGTTTAAACAACAGTATCTTACATGATCAGGACTGATAACTTTATGAATGTCCATGTCACCAACTGCCGCGTGAAAGTCGTCATTTTGACTCAGTATCGCCGAGTACGTACCAGTGTGATTCACCTTAGAGGTGTATATGCCACGTGTAACCTGGGAACCAAAGAACAATTTAAAACAATAAACTGCTTACAGGGAAGTAATAGCATGCACGTAACTTGAGGGGAAGGGTTGTTAATTGGTATGACCTAATTATTTTAAGTATCGCACAGTCAGTACAACATTGTCTCGAGCTAACGTCACAAGCTCACGATGGTTTAGTCAACCGGGTATGTTTGATTTAGAACTAAAATGGACGGTGGAAAGAGGGAGCGAGGAAAAGCAATTTCTAATAATTTCTAAGCTACTGTCCCAGTGTTCAGATGTAGTCTTAATTCTTTAGAAACTTCATTCTCACGTCGATTTATTCTTCGAATAAATCCAATATTTTAAGGGAGTCATCTTGTCACGAGCCTGGGACAAAGAAA